GTGGACAACGATCGAAGTCGACCACTATCACCGACGGTGAGAGACACACTCATCTTCAACAGCTGCCTCGGCTTTCTGCATGCTTTCTCTGTTGGGTGATAGTTAGGGGGGAGGAAGAGGTGAGGGGCAAGAAGAAAAGAGGGAAGAGTGCTTAACATCCTCCGAGTCTGCAGGGAGAAATAACCTCTCCTTGCGCTCCTCGCATCTGTCCCGGGTTTGGTGTGCAGTCTGCACCCGTCGCAGATGGCTGCTGGCAGTCAGCATCAAGCAGCTCACTTCTGATACTTTATCCGGTAGAGCTGTGTGTTTTTGCAAACAGTGCTGCAGTTGAAGCGGGCCAATTTTTTTTGTCAATGCAGAGATCAAAGTCATTAAACTTCAGGGGCCAGAAAGGCTCTTGGAGGGCCCTAAAACAGCAGTCAGGTTCAGCACCATGAACAGCGCCATACCAAGGCACATTCAAACTTTTCCTATCAGGGTTTGTTTTAAACGATTCGAATCAAACTATTTTGTTATTATGAGAAATCTCATATATAGCTACACCTTAAGAGATCTAAATGTATCCAAAGGGGTTCTCAGAAACTCCCCCAAAGTCCACAAATTTCACTTGGGCCTGAACAAACTTTATTTAACCAAATTAAGATGAGCATGTGCCTTTAACTAACAAAAATACACAACCACTCATGTGTGTTGGGCAGTAAAGCTGAAACCCTTCCCCCTGGCCTTTTTTGTAGCACTTCACTGCATTGCTACAGTTCACTCATAACATCACTTCACTGTTTTCAAAGTCATTTACAACAAGAAGGTTTTTTTTACTGATGGACATGCCTCTTGGTGTTACCATCTGAAGTTCCCCAGCTCTCAGATTCAGGGCAGACAATTAGAAACTCCATTAAGCACAGCTGATTCCTCTGAGGAAGCTGTACCAAAAGCAGCGTGCACACTGGGATCTGTAGGATATTTAGTCCTTCCTGTCCTTTTCCTGCATCTCTACTCACTACATGAACCCCATGACCTCAATTGAAACTTTATGAGTCAGCTCATAGGTGCTGAGAGAAATGGCAGCCAAATGTAGACACATGATTGTCTCATATGAGGCTGAAAACTTTATTTGAATTGTGCTGATTCATTTAACAAATCTACAGTTGGAACTCAAAAAATTAGAATATGGTGCAAAAGTTCATTTCTTTCTGTATTCCAGCTTAAAATGTTAAACTAATTTATTAGATGGACTCATTACATGTGAAGCCAGATATTCCAAGCCTTCATTTGTGATAGTTGTGATGATTATGGTTTACAGCTTATGAAAACCTCACATTCAAAATCTTAGATAAATATTGCAAAAAGCTTCCATATTCTAGACTCAAAGTGTTAAACTCTAATCAGCAAATGAAACTAAAACACATGCAAAGGGTTCCTGAGCCTTTAGATGGTCTCGCAGTCTAAGCTGAGTTACTGAAGTAAATGGAAGTTAGCACTATAGGCTAATTTTTAAAGTTTTAAACAAAGTTCAAATTTGAATTATTGAGAACAAAAGAAATGATTGCCCAAATGCTTCCTTTTTGATTACATACAGGTGTGGGATGGTCTCCATAACTCCAGATTGTTCTGTAGCAGAGACACATTACTGCTAAAACAAGGCAGCATTACAGAGTCACATAACAGAAACAAGGGTATAAACACGTACTTCTACAGCTTCAATGTATTGCCAGCAGGATGAGCAGAGAGTATGTTAGTCAGATTCATTCAAAATAACACCAGATAAGGTATTTTATGGATGAATGTTGGAATAAATGTTTCCACCTGTATGCTTTCCTTTGTGGTATCAGGTTTTATCTCTGTTAAAATGAACCCTGAAGATCTCCCGCTTCTGAAACACTCTTTCTGTGAGGAATTCACACAACTTGAAATATTACTATCCTTCTTCTTAATTTATGTTAACTAACACGACATCCACATTGACTTGATACAAGTGGTCAGGTTTTGTTAGACTTTTAAAAAAAGTTACCAGCTACTTGTTTGCATTATGAGTGACCAGGAGCACACAGGGCGTACGTTTGTAGGGAATAGTAGAAACACGGATAGATATCTCTTTTTTTCTCATAAAAATGCATTGAAACCAACATTTTAATGAAATGTATTCAAATCTATTTAAATAAACTTGAATAACTTTTTGAATTTAACACACGAAGCGAAAGCTGGCTGTGCCTCTTTGTTTTTCTCTTTGCTTAACAAAAACGTTGTTTTGCTTGCTTTGATCTGGCTTATGTGATGCTACATGCCAATAATAGAGCGGCACTGATGGTCCGTCTGAGCCACAGAATCACTTTCATTCTCTCACATTTCAGCTCTTCACCTCCTCCAGACTTGGTGAGATAGCTGAGCAGACATTACACTATGAAATCTTGCTCCAGCTTTTGTGAGTCAACAATTCTGTGCGGTATCTCAAGGACACTGAGAAGTGATAAACTTCTCTGTGTGGGAACTTCAGCTTCTGTTTCTTTATCTGGCCTCCTCACATTCTGTTTATTCACCACAAGATGGCAGCAGACATAAAGAAAGTCACAGGCAGAGAGGCGCAACCAGGGTTTATTTTGGCAGGTTCACACATCATCAGTTTAAAACTTAACAAGATGATTTCAAGTAACTTAAAAAAGTTTATTTTTCTGAAGTCAATTTTTGCAGGGTTGTTTTGTTCCTTGCAATTCTGCAGAAAAAAAGTGAACACATAATTGTCCTTGAAAGAATTAGGAGACTTGGCAGATCCCTATTAAGAAACACTTTATCTTTTACTGACAAAGATTATTCTTTGTGTCTGTTTGCTTTCAAACACTACAAGGTTATTGCTTATCTGCTTTATCTGAGATGTGTGTGGCACATTTCTGCTTAAAGCTGGGGACAATGAGGGCTGCTTACTGGGATTATTTGTGACATTCTTAGTGACAGATTTACCGCTTGCCAAAAAAAAACAGCATAAAACCTCTGACATTTTTGTTTTGGTGTCTGACTTATGCTAATACAGAATTTTAAATGTACAGGTGAAACTCGAAAAATGTGAATATTGTGCAAAAGTTTGTTATTTCAGCAACTGAATCAGCTCCTCTAAATTTGAGACCATGGTCTTGAGTCAGAAAAGGGTGTCTTCTCCCGGTCAGGGAAGTGAAGGAGTTTAAGTATCTCAGGATCTTGTTCACGAGTGAGGGAACAATGGAGTGCAAGACCATCAAGTAGAGTGATGCTTTGCTTGCAGTGATGTAAGCATTTGAGAGCTGAGCTGGAAGGCAAAACTCTCAATTTACCAGTCGATCTAAGTTTGGTCACGAGCTTTGGGTAGTGACTAGTAGAACGAGATTGTGAATACAAAAAGCCAAAATGAATTTTCTCCACAGGGTGTCTGGGCTCTTGGGTGAGAAGTTTGGTCACCCGGGAGGGGCTTGGAGTAGATTTGCTGCTCCTCCACATCAAGAGGAGCCAGTTAAGGGCTCGGGCATCTGGTTAGGATGCTTCCCAGATGCCTCCCTGGTGAAGTTTTGCAGGCACATCCAACTGGGAGGAGACAAAAAGGAAAGACCCAGGACATGCTGGAGGGTCTATATATTTCTCAGTTAGTAAGGGAACGCCTTGGGATTCCCACAGAGTAGCTGACCCAAGTGAATGGGGAGAGGGAAGTCTGGGACTCTCTGCTTAGGCTGCTGCCCTGTGACCCAACCCTGGATAAGTGGAAGAAAATGAATGGATGGATTAATGAACCAGACTGAGAGACCATTTTCAATTCCAGGCCTTGAGGGCCGGTATCCAGCACGTTTTGGTTTTAACCCTGCTTCAATACACCTGATTTCAATTAGTAGGTGATTAACAGGCTTCTGTAAAGCCTGATGAGCTGCTGTACAGGCGATTCAACCACTGAATTAAGTGTGTTGGACCAGAGAAACCACTAAAATATGCTGGATACCGACTCTCGAGGCTCGGAATTGAATAGCCCTGATCTAAAGGCTCAGGAACCCTTTGCATTTGTTTGGGATTCATAAGCTGAGATTGTGACATTTTGCGCGTAGAATATTAAACATTTCCACAAATCATAATCATCACAAGCAAACAAATGTTGGAATCATCTCATTCTGCTTGTAATAAGTCCATCTCATCAATTAGTTTCACCTTCTAAGTTCAATTAAATTAACTTTTGCACGGTTTTCTAACTTTTCGAGTTTCACCTGAATATAATTTTCTTTCCTCCTTCCTCCTTACTGTTTAGCTCCTCATTCACCAGTGCACACGTGCGGCCATGAAAAACACCAACTAGGGATGCAGCTATTTACATTCAGACCCTTGCATACATAGGTCAGAAAACATCTCCTTCTGGTTTTGCTGGAACAGCAGATTTGGCTCAGTCAAACCAGGCTGTCTAAATGTTTCATGCTGTTTCATCATGAGGGTCGAGAAAGGTTTGCTGAACACTTGTGTTTCCTTCTTCTAGTGTCGTGCAAAAAAAAAGCAATAAAAAACTAAGAGGACACTTTTTAAAAATGATTTTGCAGCTGTGATTTAGCATGCATGATTAAGCTGGTGGTTGTAGTTTTGTACAATACAGCATTTTACATGAAAGGTTGAACATCTTTGGTGATGTTTCTTTAATAGTTAATATCTATTCGTAATGCACTTGTTCTCTTCACATCATGCCATTTTTCTGTGTTGCATCACTGTGTAAATCCTCAGTTGGCTATTCTTTTGGATGAAACCTGTTGCAGGTCATCTTTTAGTCCCTTAATAAGCGTAGGGGGGTTGGAGGCCAGAAGGTTTTTCAAAATAAAACGTGCTCTTGTGTCACGTAAGCATAAGCTCTGAAGGGAAAGGTACAGTAATGAGTAGGATTCAATTTAGCTAATTATTGCAGATCTACAGTAATAACAAACAAACAAATAAATAAATAAATAAATAAATAAATAAATAAATAAATAAATAATGGTCAGTTAAGCAAAAAGAGCCTTTTGACTTATTTTTTTTTCGTTTTTGATCTGATTTACGTTCGCAACCTTCCATTAGCAGATGATGCATTTATCCCCGCACATCCCCCGGGAGAAATCCTAATACGAACCTCAATCACGTATGATTGCGTTAAAAGAGTCGGAGAGGGAGAGAGAGAGGTGGGAGAGAGGGAGACGGAGACAGAAGGGGGAGGCTGTGGACTCCCTCTCGTCGTCGGGGATGTAACGCACCGACACAGCGCTCATTCTGCACGAGCTGGCGTTGAGACTCCTTCATTATTTGTGCGCTATAAAAGCACTTGAGCGTGCGCGTTCGCCTCAACTATTTGTTGCATTTTTGGACTCTTAATCACTCCCCGCTGGCTTGGGTTCCAGCTCTGCAGCATCCTTGCAGAGTGAAGCCGCTGCTTCCATTTTTCTCTCCCTCCAAGACTGCATTTAGAGGTTGCCATCGACGTAACCGAACAGTGGGGCTCAGAGATCTGTCAGAGCTGCTCCGCATCCAGGACAAGCGGGACGGTGTCGCTGACCGATGCGCATGATGATGTGAGGAGCAGGAGAAGTTGGGGTATCGCCTCGTTTTGTCTACTCACACGCAGGAGCCCGTTTATTCGAGCTGGCGTGAATCAAACGGGAGCCAGCAGGGCGGACTGCTGTGCAGACGCACCGCCGTTCACCTGGAGCACCTGAGCATCTCCAATGACAACGCAGCTCACAAACACTGTTGCATGTTTTCACGAGTGACATCTCGGCCCCGGTGGCCTTGGCCATAAATTCGTCTCACAGCAGCTGCTTCAAAGTCCCGAGTGCCATCCGAACTCGGAGCAGACTCCATGCTGCTGACTCCTCCAGAGGATGCCTGACGTGCAAAGATGCGCGGGACTCACAGGATGACGTTTAGTTAAAACAACCGTGGACCAAATTACACAATATTTTGTCTCGCATTTGTTTGCATCTGGATCCGACCACTGCCGAACTAGAGTTTTTTTTCATTATTATAATTTATTTTGTTTTTGTTAGACTCGGTTCGGGGAGATGGCTGCGATCGCCAGCTCCCTGATCCGGCAGAAACGCCAGGCCAGGGAGTCCAACAGTGACCGGGTCTCCACTTCCAAACGGCGCCCCAGCCCCAGCAAGGACCCCCGCTCTCTCTGCGAGAGGCATTTCTTGGGGGTCTTCAGCAAAGTCCGCTTCTGCAGCGGCAAGAAACGACCCGTTCGGCGGCGGCCAGGTCAGTGAGGCAGATTTTTCTTCCACGAATGTGTGTTATTTGTGTGTGTAGGAAAAAAAAAACACTCCCCACCTCCATTCACCCACCCACCCAGCCCTCCTGCGCACCCCGCCCCTCTTTGAAGCAGCAGAAACATTACACTGCAGTCAAGGGCTTCAATCTGAACAGAGGGAAGAAGAGGGTAGATTTTCTCCGTGGTGGGAGGAAAAAAATCCACCTGTTTCATTTGGTTCCTTTAATGTGTGTCGGTGCACTGCACGACTCAAGATTCCCCCCTCCCATATTGAACAGGAGCTGCCTGCATAAGCAATGCTCTATGACGTTATCCCCTTTAGACATTAGCAGAACTCTGATAATAAACAATTATCTTGAAAAATATCATGCCCCTCTTTTCTCTTTTGATCCTATTCTAATAGCCACCCCTTTCCAATCATGCCCCTGCACCCTCATGCCCCTGCACCCTCATGTCCCCAAATACAAACTGAATACTCAGAATAAACCTGCCATAAATGGCCAAATACAGTACAAGATAAAGGGAATCAGAAAGTAGATAAGTTGCACCGCAGTGCACCAAGGCTCTTTTGAGATAAAATGTTTTAATGGTAAATGTTTATTGCAGAAATGTGGCTTTGCTGCAGCAAACCAACTGAATTGACACTCATTCACTAAACTTTCACAGTCATGTTATTTTTGGGTCTTTATTGTTCTGATTTTGGCCCCCGGTGCACCGATCAACTCTCTCCCCTCCATCCCGATAGTTCTGTTGTGTGATGAATGACAGCCAGGTCCACCCAGTGTCCCGCAGACAGGCTGATGAGGCACGAGGCAGGAGGACATCGATTTTTAATGCAGGAACTGGAGGACAACAGTCTCCCTGTCAGGCATGCGAGGCAGACCCAAACCCCAGCACCCTCCAACAATCTCTGCCAAAATATCTACAAATGTCTTGAATTTAAACAAAGCATTGCAAATTACTGGAGATTGTTTGGAGCAGGTAGGTATTTTCCTCTCAGTGGGGGCAGAGTGTGTGTCCTCTTTTTCGTTATGCTTACACGTGCACTGATGCCATATGTTTGCCTTTAAACAGCCAATAAACTGGAGAATTGATGAATTCTGCCTGTTTAAAAAAACTCTTGTTTTTCCTTCTATCCTCCCACCCCTCCTCCGTAAGATGCACCCTTGAAACCTCCACAGGTGTCCCATAAGGGCTGCAGGCTAGGTCAGTAGCTCAGCCTCCATCTGTGTGTGCTGTGTTTCTCCTCGTCTCCACCCCATCTCGCGCCCATGTCGACAACCTCCTCGGCCAGGGAGGGGGGTATGGGGGGTGGGGGTGGGGTGGATTGGGAGTCAAGAAAGGGCTCAACACCCGTGTGACAGCTGACGACCCTCTCCCTCGCTGATCTCCTCCGTCTTTCATTCCTCCTCCTTCTGTGTGACCTCTTCTTCGACTTTTTGAGCTTATTTTCTCACCTATTTCGTCTCTAAAACCTAAAGCTTTCCTACAACACCAGTCGTCTGTGGCTCTCTATCTGCCTCCTTTCATTTCCTTTTAGTTTCATTTTCTCTGTCAGTCAGCGTCGGATCATCTTTATCCTTGTTCCTCGTTCTGTGTCTGTAAAGATGTGCTGATTAGCGGTGTGTAAGCCAAAGCACAAGCTGTTTCTGTAGCGTCTATTGGTGTGCATTGATGAGTCTCTCCTTATCGAACACCACATCAGAACAGGTGAACATTCACCATTTCATAATCATGATGCCATTTGTCAGTGTACCTGAATGTTTTTGTCCTTCCTGTACCGGTATGACGTAAATCTATTGTCTTTTTAATGGTCCATACTCTCGTGGAATGATCTTGAGTTTGCTGTCATTGAAAGACGTTTTTTATAGGCAAACACAATAGATATTAACAGGAAATATCTGCTTTTACCCACACACACACACACACACACACACACACACACACACACACACACACACACACACACACACACACACACACACACACACACACACACACACACACACACGCACGCATGCACGCACACACGCGCACGCACACACACGCGCATGCACGCACACACACACACACACACACACGGAGAACATGCTCTCTGCTTAATGGCCTGAACCGATGAGCTGTCAGCAATAGCCCCGGGGCTTTAATTTATGGAATTGTAGTTATCACGTGTGATTTACTGGTGTGTACAGTCCCATGTGCTTACACACACACACACATAAAACACACACATGCTCGTTCTCCTCAACCTGCCCATGATGACTGATGAAGAGCCTGTCCTAGGAATTGATGGGCCTTACCCAGGGGTAGGTGAGTTGGGAATTGATGGTCAGGATGAACTCACTCCTGCTGTTGGTCACTACTCAGCTCCCTCTCTACTTGCTCCCTTCTCCATTCACTTTGTAGTTTTTTACAGTACAAAATAATCTCATGAACTTGTAATTACTGAAGCCACCAGCTTTCGAGCAAATTCCATCTGTTATCACTGTATTAAGTTCTGGCTGAAACTGTCTTTCTCTTCCAAGATAGCGAGATTCAGAATGTTGCTTTTTGCTACATCATTTGGAATGCATTGTGACTGGCTGGGCTGGAATGAATTGTGTGTCCTCCAACTCTTGTTTTGACCTTGGAGGACAGTTTGGCTCCGACACATCCCCTCCCATCACATTCATCATTTATCAGAGCACATACACATTCAGAGCCATCGTTTGCAGTTTATTTAGATAAATGAAATTCGTTAAACGGTGACAAAATGCCAAGTTTACTCATGTTGGCAGGTGATGGATTAGAATAACACAATTCACAATGGCTCTCGCAAAAATAATGTTTATTCTCAGTGTCCAGCTCTGAAAAAGTTTAATTGATTTTAAAGTATTTTCCAGAAATACAGTTGTAAATTAGAATATGGTGCAAAAGTCCATTTATTTCAGTAATTCAGTTTAGTCAGAGAGACCATCTAAAGGTTCAAGAACCCTTATCGGGTATTCTGGATTAAATTGCTGATTAGATTGTGAAAACGTGAACTACAACATTGAACCTTTTCACATTATTCAAATTTTCTTACATTTTATCAGAAATGCTTGGGGGCAAATTGTCTTGAACGATTAAAATGCGATTAATCAAGATTAATTAAATACAAAGGCTTTGATTAATTAGATTAATTTATTTAGTCCCATCCCTAGTTATAATTAAATGTGTTCTGCTGTGTTTACTGCATACGGTTCCAAGTTGCAGAACAATAAAAATGTCTGGCCCCCTTTCAAGCCTTCATGTCAATGTAACAAATAATCTTTGTGAATAGTGATTTACTATTGTCTCACAAGAATAGAAATAATAATAAAAAATCATTAGGAACTTTTTATTTGGAAACAGGCTCTTTGTAAAACCTTTCCCATGAAGTATGAAAGCAGAGATGTAAATCTTCACAGAATGGTCATCAAAGAGACAATAATGCTCTTAAGTTGTAAGCTATAATCATAAGAATCATAACAAATAAAGGTTTGAATTATCTTGCTTTGTATTTAATGAGTCTATCTCACATATTAGTTTCACTTAAAAAATTATGTCAGTTGAATTACTGACATAAATGCACGATATTCTAAGTTTTTGAGATTCACCTATAGTTCCACGACTACCTTGTGGAAAGCCACACGCCTGGTTTATTGCACCATCCAGCTCTGTTATTTACTTCCACATAAATTCAAAAGATTTAGTGATTAAATGACTGCAAAGATGTATTTTTTTGTCAGATAAAAGTATTTTTTATGCATGTATTTACCCAGTTATTTACAGGGGGTGCTTCTTTTGCCTTTAGCTGATTTCTGTTTCCACCTGCTTCACACTTCAAATGACCTGGAGCAGCCCTGTGGCCGTTTGCCAGCTGTCCTACCCTTCAAAGATGCAGGTTGCTTCAGGGTTATCATTAAAAAAGGGGCATAGGAAAACTTCAGTCTAGCTTCCTTAAATGAAAAACCCACAAAAATATATTTTGTAAACAAAAAAAAAATAGCAATTGCCTCAAATAATATGAAACATTTCCAAATGAAATATAAAAAAAACCAATCACATAACAACATGCTCATCGATTTTCTGTTATTGTGCACTTAAAGGCCTGCAAGTCATACAGCCATTAAACCTTTTTATGATATTACATCGTGCAGAAAATAATTCATTACAGACCTTTCACTGTATTATTTATATCCGACAGCTCGAGTGGGTAAAGCAAACGTTCAAAAAAATGTCTAATGTGTTATTTTATGTTTTGGCTGCTGTGGAGGCTGGATTGTTACAGAAGAACAGGATTGGTTTTAAAAATGGTTAACTATCATTCATTCATTCACCAGGTGACACCTTGGAAAGATAATGAGGCTTTAACATTGATTAAATCCTAAAAGGTTCATCTCTTTAATATATCTGGTAATTAAAACATCACCTTTTAAGGGACGAAACCAAATTTATTGGTTTATGTAAGAAAGATAATTGGTATTCCTACACACCCCAGCTGCCACAGCAAGCACACTTTGTTGTAATAAATAATACAAAATTATTTTCCTTTTCGTTATCCTTCACTGTGATGATTTCAACAAGCATCTTTGAGCAAAAAAGCTGGTTTATCAGGAAGATAGTTTGTTTTAATCTTGAAAATTTGAACATTTTTCTGACATATTTTATGTGGGGCTGGGGAATTGCCGATGGATGGCATGCTTCTTTGTGTGTGTGTGCATTTCAGAGCCACAGCTGAAAGGCATCGTGACACGACTTTTCAGCCAGCAGGGTTTCTACCTGCAGATGCAGCCGGATGGAACCATCGATGGCAGCAAGGACGAGAACAGCGACAACAGTGAGTGGAGCGCATCATGGAAGCTGCAGCTTCCAGTTTAAAACCTTTAGCAGCTGTGAGTCAGTTGTTATATAACTCTACACCACATTCAGTACAGCTAATCATCATTCTTATGTAATGGATGCCATGTAGGTCGGCGCCAGGAATCTCCAAAATCAGTTTTAAGACAGGCACCTTATCTAAAACTAATTTTCTCCACTAAAAGGCAGTTTTAGAGATAATTATTTATTCATTTTCACAAGAGAGAAAGCCCCTTTTCCTGCATCATGGTTATGCAATTGCAGAGATTTATCTGTGCCAAATAGCTACTTAAATGGTTTATGTCTGTTCTTGGTTTGCTTTTACATAAAATGACCTTTCTCCGTGCAAATTTAGAAGAACTTGTGCATTCTTCTTTTAATCTGAGTGTCCCCTCCAATATTGGACAAGTGCGCATTTGTCCCCCCCCCCCCCCCCCCCCCCCTGCTAAGGTGCAGGTAGGTGCTACAGTGGAGTGAGATTTTAGATGGTTGATGATGAGAGGAAGATTCGAGCATGATAACAAGTGAACACGACTAAATAATACTATAACAGCCATGATTTTAATGTTGCACTAGTCGTCCAATAGTATTTTTTACTCCTTATTCCTGTCCACTGTTTTTATATTAGAGATCAGATGAAGTTCAGCAGGAACCAGTTGAGGGTGAGACAGGGAGAGCCAGACCTGCTGAGGGTGAGACAGGGAGAGCCAGACCTGCTGAGGGTGAGACAGGGAGCACCAGACCTGCTGAGGGTGAGACAGGCAGCGCCAGACCTGCTGAGGGTGAGACAGGGAGAGCCAGACCTGCTGAGGGTGAGACAGGCAGCGCCAGACCTGCTGAGGGTGAGACAGGGAGAGCCAGACCTGCTGAGGGTGAGACAGGGAGCGCCAGACCTGCTGAGGTGCAGGTAGGTGCTACAGTGAAGAATGAGATGGTTTTAGGTTGCTGATGAGAAGAAGATTTGAATGGAATAATAAGTGAACACAGTTAAAAATATGTAATCCCATAACAAGTAGGGCTGGGCAGTACGGTTTAAGAATAAATTACATTCTGTACACGCTTCCTTAGAAATATTAGAAAAATAAGTGTTAAACTCTGCATTCTGGTGCATTTAGACTGCAATTTTGGCCACTGTTTTTTTCTTTTGTCCATCTGAAAATTAATGTAGCTCCAGCTGTTGTTGTAAGTGAATTATTTCTTTTTTCATTCTGTCAGAAGCAAACAGATTTTTCTGATTGTTGGTCAGCGTTGTTGGCTGATGTAGTTTAAAATATTCTGATCAGTCAGATCAATTCAGACTGAATATTCACAGTTTTAGTCTTGTATTAAATCTGTTTACACATCTGTACCCATATGAATAAGATAATATATCCTACATTCATATTATTAAATAAAAATAAAACAGTACTGACACATAAACAGCTTTTTTATAATTAAAACGTCCACGTTGGCCGGTAATCACCTGGATCTTGCTAATGGGGAGCCTAAGTCTGCTCCCCTTCTGGCTGGCTCATGGGTCCCCGATCAAAAAAAAAACAAAAACAAAAAAAAAAACAGAATGTTAGTGAACTGGGCTATAAAAGTTATTTTCTTGTCTTTCTGGGTTTTGCCTTACGCCCAGAGTCATATCTGTCAGACTTTTCTAATCCTAGAGTTTCACCGTCTATCAGATTTTCTATCAGAAGCTAATGCAGGAGATAGCGGTAGGAGACTATGTTCATGTTCAGCCTGCATGAAGCACTCAGTGACACGTTAGAATCAGAAGTAATCATTAAATGTATTTTTTCAGTGAAGTTGACCTATATATTGACCTACAACAGATTTGTTAGATTTCCAAAATGTGTCCCCCCCAATATTAAACTCGTTCCTACTCCCTTGGATCATATAAACCCTTTTTACATGCTCCAAACACAACTTAACTACAATTAGGTGAATCATGACAAATCGCTCTTCATGAAAAAAAAAAAACTGACAGAGAAAAGTAGAAACTTTTTTATTCTAATGTTTTCTAGTTGGTAGAAAGCAGGCAGGTGGTAAATTTATCCAACTGACTTTATCTTGTAACCCTCAGCAGAACTTCCTCTGACCTCTACACTACACCTCTATAAATATATTAGCTGTGCTCTTCTGCCTCCTAGTATTCAGTTCAGTACACAACATTTACAATGTTCCATGTCCATTTGCACTTCAACACATCTAGGGCTGCAGCTATAGAATATTTTAGTATTCGAGTATTCTACCGAATCTTCCATCGATTAATCGAGTATTCTATTTGATGATGTTTCAAGTGAAATGAGATTATGGTCTGCTACAAAAAACATGAGAATAAAAATTATAAAATGCTCAATAATATATAATAAATTGGTGTTGTCTAGTTCCCTCAGTCCCAGCTGATATTCATATTTAATAAACATTTTATGGAACAACATTTGACTTACATTTCTTTCACAATTTAGGTTTGTATTGACCTCATCCTAGTCAAAATAGCATATTCAATATGTTCACATATAATGAGTAGAATTTAATTATTTCATTAACATGTTCAATAGCTACTATAAATGCTAACATTTAATTTCTACGTGTAACAATGAACTTGTGGTATATTTATTTTATTATGTTTGGGTTGGCAACATAATCTAGTCCAAATTGTATTGAAACATAAAAGTTTTTGTGAATTATATGCTACAACGGCCTGCGGTAGATGGAGTGGACTCGTAGCATAAACCAGACGTTAGCTGCAGAGGCTCTGCCCCACACCGCTGCAGAGATCCATAAATAAATGGGATGATGGGGATTTATCTTCCGTTTTTAGCCGTTCACAACTGTCATGTTTTTTCTGAACCACACTTGCTTGTGAGAATGCTGCCCGATAGCTTAGCATTAGCAATTCTGCTCGCATTTTAACTCTTGATCTCAAACTTTGGACCACGTCTGCTTTTTACAATGGTTTCTGTCTTTGCTGGTTTCTCGATTTTCCTCCACAGCACCTAGATTACCACATGTGCTCCAGTAAAATGAGTTCAGACTGGGGAGCGCACATTTAACGAAGCTTCGAATCAGTAAAAAATGAATCGAGGAATTTAATGAGTTGAACCATTCGAATCATTCGATGATTCATTTCAGCCCTAAACACATCTACTAATTTTTACACATCCCAACAAATCCCACAATGGTTAATTTTATAATTAGACCAAATCAGTCAAATAGACATTGTGCTTACAGAAATATACTCAGTAAAGTGTGGGTATGCCATCTGTGCCTCAACATTATTTCGAACCCCCCAAAATTGCTTGGGTGCAAATTGTCTTGAATGATCAAAATGTGGTTAATCAGATTAATTAATTACAAAACCTTTGATTAATTAGATTAATTTAGTTATAATTAAACATGTTCTGCTGTGTTTACTGAATAATGTTGGATGATGCAAAAAAAGAAAATCTTCTTGAAAACCTCTGTGGCCACCTTCAAGCCTTTCTGTCAATGTAACAAAAAACTGCTTGTTGAATAGTGATCTACTATTCTCTCATGAGAATAGAAATAGGGAAAAAATTATTTGAGCACAGTATGAACTCTATACATTGAAATAAACTCTTTCAGAACCTTTCCAATGAAGTATCAAAGCAGAGATGTATATCTGCACAGGATGGTCATCAAAGAGATGATGATGTTCCCCATCTGGATCCAAGCCTGTCAGGAAACCAATCACGGTGTTTCTGCTCTAAAAAATCCTGCCAGTCCTTAAGGAAGCTGCAGCCAAAGCTGCAAGATGTTTGCAGTCACACAGCAAAACAAACGACCTCTCCCTGTCAAACGTCACTTCTTATGATGAGAAATGAGTTCAGTTACTTACAGCATCAAGGAAAAGCCTCCATAATGAAGTGCATCAGCTCTGTTGACCCAATACACTATATCTGTGTACCTCACACACTTTTAATTGCACTATTTTTAAAATGATACATACATTTGTTATGCTGTCAAAGTCATGGCGGATTTATTTAGTGTTGGAGGGTTTCCCCACCTCAAGGTAATTCTTCAGTTAAGCATTCCCACTGGCCCAGGAGTGCAGTGAATAATTGAACTGAAGCAAACTAAAAATACCATCTTCTTCATTTGTGCTCAATGAATAATTCTCTATATGAAAAGCCTCGAGCTCAGAGACAGTCCGAGGGCGCAGCAGAAACATGAAGGTGCTCTGAGAGAAATCTTAAGTGTTTTAAGGAGAAAACAGAGATGCAAAAAGCAAAAGAAAATGGGAGCGTAATTAAGAGGGCAAATGGAGGAGGGAGATTAAGTATGCAGGTCCAATACTGGACTATTGATTGCCTGGGTGGATTATTAGAATAATAGATTACCCCCACCCTTGAACCATGCCACCTCCTGACCTGCAGCATCCACTCAGCAGTGGCAGATGCAATCCAGTAATTTATTTTGAGGCGATGCATCAGTGAAATGAATGGAACAGAAAAGCGTGATGATTCTGCCCACATATAGGTGAAACACGAGCTCAGGTTACACACAATTCTATTTTTGATTAGTTGCCATATTTCCTCGATGAATAAATGTGCTGAGAAGAGCATAAAACAGTTTATACTGACAAACAGAGTCCACCCACTCCCACTCACAGTGCAGCTGAGTGCTGGATGGATGATCATTTCTCCTGTCAGGCAGACTTGTACATTTGAATTGACGGTCTGTTTTCGAGGAAGTTTGGGGTTGAAAAGCTGAAATATTCTGCTGAGAAAGCACAACCACAGAGTCCTTTTTGGCTTCAAGCCACTAAGTGGTAATGAATATATGCTACTGTATTAAGGTTAATAATATTAATTGGTACTAAACTGGGAATGAATGCTTCAGATTTCTACACAAATGATTTCTTAAGGATTTTTTTTTCATTTTAGTTTATGTGACTTGAAAAAATAGTTTGGGTTTTATACTTTTTTTAAACTAAGGAGAGTTGATAAAACATAAAGAGTTTCAGCATTTAGACTAAAATTCCATAGCTAGAAACCACATTTAGTTTATTGGCTGCAATAACTCTACAACATGATTAGTCTAAAGAACAGCTGTGTTCAGATTAAAAATGTTATTAATTTGATTGCCATCAGTTGATTGCATACAGTAATTACCAGACACTGCTGGGACTTAAGACTCATTTTTCTCTTGTCTCTCTTAATCTGGGTTTTGATGACAGATGGAAGTTTTATGAGCTAAAAATCCACCTTCTACTTTAATGTTTAAGTACGAGAGTACAAACTACATTAAAGTTTAGTGGATTAGACAAAACTGATTGTCAGGTTGTTTTGTTATACATTCTATAAATAGAGACACATCAGAGGGAAACAGAAATAATTCAAGAACAAGAAAAAAAAGAATATTGTTAAAACACATCGAACATGAAACATACATTAAAAAGAGAAAAAAGGAAACATATCAAAAGGAAAATAAAAACATTTAAAGTGAAACATCAAAGGGCAACAAAAACATCAAAGGAAGAGTATCTGATGATCAAATCACATACAAAAAACAAAACCAAAGTGACCATAATTTTATCATTTCAGCAGAACAGAATGGAACAGAACAGAATTGAATATAATAGAATGCAACGTAACCTAGTTGATGTAAATAAAGTTGTAGTGAATGTAATAAAATAGAAAAGAATAGAGCAGAACAGAGCCAAATTGACTAAAATCTAATTGTATTGAATAGAAAAGAACCAAAAATATTTGAGTTGACTTGAATCTAACCATATTGAATAGAATAGAATAGAACAAAACAGAACAAAATCCACTCTAATCCAATAGAATAGAATAGAATAGAATAGAACAAAACAGAACCAAATCGACTCTAATCCAATAGAATAGAATAGAATAGAATAGGCCAGTAAAAATACTGGTAACATAATCTAATAGAATTCAACAGAACCTAGTTTATTTAAATTGAATCATATTGAATCTAATAGAATAGAAAAGAAGAGAACAGAACCAAATTGACTCAAATCCTATTGCACTGAATAGAATAGAATAAAACAGAACAAAACAGAATAGAACAGATTAGAACAAAACAGATACAAAATGATACAAATCCAATTGCATTGAATTAAACAGAATAGAATAGAACAAAACAGAATATAATAGAATAAACCCAAATGGACTCAAATCGAATCAAATTGTACTGAATGGAATAGAACAGGGGCTGCGCAGTGGTGCAGTGGTTAGAGCTGTTGCCTTGCAGCAAGAAGGTCCTTGGTTCACTTCCCAGCCTGGAATCCTTCTCCATGGAGTTTTCTCTTGTCGTTTATTCTCCCTGTGCATGCGTGGGTTCTCTCCGGGTACTCCGGCTTCCTCCCACAGTCCAAAAACATGACTGTTAGGTTAATTGGTCTGTCCAAACAGTCCTTAGGTGTGTTTGTGTGTGTGTGATTTTTTTTCCTGTGTGTCTCTGTGTTGCCCTGCGATGGACTGGCTCACTGTCCAGGGTGTATCCCGCCCGATTGTCCATTGATCGCTGGAGATAGGCACCAGCCCCAGCCCCCCCCACCCCCCCACCCCCCACCCCCCGTGGACAAAGCGGGTTCAGACAATGGATGGATGGATGGAATAGAACAGAACAAACTAGGATAGAAAATGACCAAACCAAATTGACTCAAGTCAATTTGTATTGAACAGAACAGAACAAAGCACAACAGAATAGAATAGAATAGAACAGAACAGAACCAAATTGACTTCAATTAAATTGTATTGAATAAAATAAAACAGAACATAATAGAATATAACCTCACTGACACAGAATTGAATAGAATAGAATCAACTTGACTCAAATCGATACATATTGAATAGATATTAATATAATTGAACAGAAGAGAGCTGAACAGAACAGAACTGACTATAATAGATTAGTGTCCTTGTCTATAGTGAAACTGCCGTTCACATTTCACATTTAGCTAAGTGTCCCTTTAAACCTTTCCTGCAGGGCTCCTGTTGTGATGCTTGTCCTCTTATTCAGTTTAATTCCTTTGCCCAACTGCATGTTTGCCTCAAGCAGATTACTGCTCTACTGGAAGATTTACATTTTTCAAGGATTCTCTTTCCTATTTTATTTTTTTTGGTGTCTGAACCCGTTTTGTCTGTCACTTTAACAAAAGAGCTCTCCAACTCTCCCTGCACCAGTCCAACCTTTCTCTTTTGACGGCGAGATTATTAAAGAAGAAGAATCACCTTCAGGATAGTCATCAGATACTCTTAACAGCAGTCAGTGCTGCTGTAATTATGAAATCCATCATCTACTAACAAAAAAATGCTGGATATTTAAAAGGCAGCAGAGTGACAACCACTGCCCATTCAGTATTTTGTTACAACTGAAAAATTAGAGCAGGGAGCACATGCTAAATTATAGCTAAATAATCAAATGTGATCTCATATTTCACATTTCTTCTAATTTCATTCCAATTAGATGTTTGAATGGTACCTCTAACACCACCAGTCATTAGGAGGGAGGGGAAAGAAAGCTGAAAACACCAGAAATAAAGCAAAGCTCAAGGTGCTAATCTGCTTCTTTACAAGCTTCAAGGGTGAATGCATAACTGCAGAAGTAAAGTGCTCTGTGTGAATCAACAGTTTCAGCAGCCTGAGGGCACGTTTAAAGCATTGGCAGGCAAAAGCACCATGTCGATATGTATTGAGTGATATTGAATCCACTCATAGGACAGACCCATGTTGGCATGCCTCTGCTTTTCCTTGCCAGTTTTATCGGATAGTCCCAGCACTTGCAAAGCAATCATTCCTGTGGAACAGGGGAGTGTGCAGCAGGTAAAGAATGTCCCTACAGCCACCACCCTCCGCCATTAATGTCAGCGTTCAGACTAAAGAATGAATCCAGAAACGCTGGGTGAATTGTTATTCTGTCCTTTTCTCTCATGTATCTTGTTTGTCTCTTCTTTTATTCATGACCACATCCCTGATTTACACCATTGGCAAAACTTATATGAGGAATCAGCTGACCTGACCTCCTGATAAAACTAGTCTGAAACAATTTTCTGGCTTTTTTTGGATCGTTGTTCAGAAAGTTATACTGAATCTTGCCATTTTACATTTAAACTTTGTTTCTGAAGCCCTTCAATCATTTATCACTTTATGTTTCTGATTGAAAGAGTTGAAGGGGTGATTATAAGGATTCTATCAAATCCACACCACCGAGAAAAGTGTACAGACCCTTTTATGACTAAGACACACAAGATGCATTTTTTAAATAATTATTTGAGTCCCTCTGTAAGTTATTTGTCATAAGCAAACAGCTTACAATGTTTTACTGTGAGATGTGTCAGCATTCCCATTACTCCTGTCCTGTTCACTCCACTGCTGATGGATAGTCAAAGAACACCGATCAGAGGCTGTAGTATTTACAAGAGTTAAGTGAAAACTCAGTTGTCATGTTCTATCCTTTGTCCTAGATGTCTCTCTTTTGTCTCTGCCTTTTTGTAACTCTGTTTTTCTCTTCTCCCTATATTTGCTTCCCTCTCTCTCTCTTTGCAGCCCTGTTTAATCTTATTCCTGTGGGTCTGAGAGTGGTGGCCATCCAAGGGGTGAAAAGTGGCTTCTACATTGCCATGAATGGCGAGGGGATGCTCTACAGCTCGGTAAGCTCCAGTCACGTAGAGTTCTGAAAGCCTGCGTGCCACTGGCATGCGTGCTTATTCATCAACACGTGTTGTCTTTTGTTCTCTTTGTTGTCTCTTCATTATCCCATCGCAGCAACTACTCAGCTTTTCCAAAGCCTTTCATGTCTGCTCATTAAAGAGCTCCTCGGATGTGGATTTTGTGTTGCTCTGCACCGCCTAATCTCCTACTGTCTTTGAAGGTGCTCTGCACATGCTTTGCATTCATCTAATGACAAGTTTAGTTCTTCCTATTTTTTTAAAGGCCTTACTGACAGAAGCTTATATACAGTCCTCAGTTTTCATATCAGACTTAATAGTAAATGTAATAGGTGAGTTGTAATAAACCTTCTCATTTACCTGGGCTGGTTAGAAGTCTTTTTTGTTCTTAATCCAGTTGGGAATTGTTTTACTTGAAGAAGCAATCTGGAGTTTTCCCTGTTTCAGGAATTACGTTTGATTTGTATTTTTTAGAAATTTGTAAATTGATAGTCTTACTTTGTTATAATGTGGGAAAGAAGTAATTTTTGTTGCTAAGCCCCCCCCCCCCCAATTCTGTACAACCCCATGCAATTAGACTTGAGTGCTGCACAGCATTAGCCAATAGCATTAGACATCCGCCGCCTATGTACAAATGTCAATCACAGAGCATATGTCTAGGGTGATGCTGTCAGTGACATTTCTTATGGACATTATAGTATGTTATATTAATGAAAAAACAACATAACGTGAAAAGAATGATTGTAAAACAATGTGTTTTAGCTCTGTTGCTGTGCTATAGCAGGTGTTGGTTCACGAGTAAGAGGCTTTGCTTCCAGTCGGAATCATGGAAGTACGGGCTTAATGTGCAATACGTTTATCTGGCTGCAGATGATGTCCTCCGAGAAAAAACTCTGATACTGAGGAGTTTCCTGCTCCTCCGCCCAACTGATTGAAAGTAGAATTACAACTGTTGTTAACATTCCTGCTGCTGTAGCTATAGTGCTGACAATGAGCTAATACAAACATGAGCCAGCTAATGCTAAAATACACCACAAGGTAAAAAGATCCACACTGTTGGACAAAAAAAAAAAAACATTATTACTTACAAGTCAAATTGCAACAAAGCCAGGTCACCATCAGTCTATGATTTTGTAGCCTCCCTTAGCTACCTCAAATTAGTGTAGGTCGTGTCAATGTTCAATGTGATTTTAGCTCTTTGCCTTCTCTCTTATTTTACTACCAGGCTTAGCCATGAAACCAACAAAAAAGCAAACTTCTAGTTTTCTTCTTCTTGTGCTTTTCATTGCTGATCAGCAAACTTAAAAAAATCAAACTGCTAGCACAACAGCTAACAGCCACAAAGCAGGCAAAGAACTCCCCCTATAAGACATCTATCTACTCCACAAAACTGTTAAGCGCACTTTCTGGCCAGTAGAGGGTCTGCAGAGTGGTGTCTAATATGAAACTGATCAAGTTTGTAACTCAACAATCACTTAGATCAATGTTAAAGCTCTAGCTTAAAAAAATCTATTTAGCGCTAATTTAACCGAGACGAAGACATGAGGACTGCATTAAGTGCAGACATCTGAGGGACTTTTCTGATTTCCAGTGGACCACGATGAATGATGAGCAAATGCAGAAAATCACAAGCTGTCCAACTAACTTTCCTGCTCATAAATACTTGAAGAACAACACAAAGCCCTTTAAAAACCAAAAATACTGACCAGGGGTGAGTTTTATTATTACAAAGTTACTACTTTACTTACTTACTCTTGTTACACAAAGGAGATGTTAAAAGTGACATGCATTATTTCATCTGGTTTTTAAAAAAGAAATTGAACTTAAATGATGGCTATGTCTCGTAATTTGAGGGTAATTTATTCAGGACAAGGTTTTTTGGCTTTGCGCATCTAGAGCACAACCTGGCAGATGTGCAAGCCAATCACAAGTTCAAGGAAGGTCACTCTGGGGAAAAAAAAAGAAAAAGGCTGTGATGACTCACCATGTAGATGGATTCATTCATAACTGAAAGCACATAAACAAGCTCACAATTCATGACTCTACTCACACACACACTCATCCAGGTGTGATTAGAGTTTAATCACGCCTGGACAGAGGTCTTTTATGTGTCAAATAGACTCAAAGTTAAAGGCGTTGTATGACCTCTCCAGTCAAGACCATTGCATTGAGATCATCATTCACATCAGACTCAATGGTTATCATTAATTAAATGTAGCTAAGCACCTCAGTGTCAAACAGCAGCTCTCAGCCAATCATTCCAACTCTAATATTACATTTAAAGGAGAACTTTTGACCTTTCGAGAGGGCCTTTTGCAGTGATGGTTGCAGTGATTTAAGCCACAACATGAATGGACTCTCAGGCCACATGCAGGAGGGGCTGCGCCTCATATGGAAGTAGCTTTCTCAATTAACGGTGGGTGGTAGACTGAATCAGTCAGGGGATTATAAACTATGAATGCTCATGAATAAACTTATCTCCAGTGGTTTTGGACACTGATTTTCACTATCGTTATTTGCTCATTGAATTTACCAGCGCATACATGTGTCACAAAGGAACAAATGAAACTATGTAGAAAATGGGAATATTTCTGTTTTATTCCTTTTTTTGAGACTGCATATGTCCTTTATCTACCTAACCCTGACCCCAAAATACTTCTCGCTATTTTTAAAGTTGTTTAGTCTTGAAGAAAAGATGCTCAGCTCGTGTTTTCCCCTTTTATTTGGGAACTAATTGCTGAAGGAAATCCTTAACACCCTTTCCTTGTTCTCTGCTTCTTTGCAGTGTTTTCTTAATGAGAATGACACAAGCTTTATTGTATCGGCCTTTTAGATTAATCTGACTGTTGGGTTGCAGATTTATAAAGCCTTTCTGTCAAACCTTGTTAAATATGTGATTAATTTATGACTGCTGCTAATCCGTTAAGGAGTTACATAAAGAAAACACCGGTAGGTGGACATCATTTTGTTGAACATATCTGACTGTTGAGGCTGATGTTGATTGAAAGCTGGAAGTGAGTTAGGTGAAAACGCTTGTGTGGAGAGTTTAGAGATGATCTGCGTGGGCTGAGCATCCACAATAACGAGTTCTTCTCCATTATTTATAACACATTATGACCCACTTTACTGCACAGCACAAACCACTGTTCTGTCTCTGCTGCACATCTATCTATCTATCTATCTATCTATCTATCTATCTATCTATCTATCTATCTATCTATCTATCTATCTATCTATCTATCTATCTATCTATCTATCTATCTATCTATCTATCTATCTATCTATCTATCTATCTATCTATCTATCTATCTATCTATCTATCATCTATCTATCTATCTATCTCTCTCTCTCTCTCTCTCTCTCTCTCTATCTATCTATCTATCTATCTATCTATCTATCTATCTATCTATCATCTATCTATCTATCTATCTATCTATCTATCTATCTATCTATCTATCTATCTATCTATCTATCTATCTATCTATCTCTCTCTCTCTCTCTCTCTCTCTCTCTCTCTCTCTCTCTCTCTAATCTATCTATCTATCTATCTATCTATCTATCTATCTATCTATCTATCTATCTATCTATCTATCTATCTATCTATCTATCTATCTATCTATCTATCTATCTATCTATCTATCTATCTATCTATCTATCTATCTATCTATCTATCTATCTATCTATCTATCTATCTCTCTCTCTCTCTCTCTCTCTCTCTCTCTCTCTCTCTCTCTCTCTCTCTCTCTCTAATCTATCTATCTATCTATCTATCTATCTATCTATCTATCTATCTATCTATCTATCTATCTATCTATCTATCTATCTATCTATCTATCTATCTCTCTCTCTCTCTCTCTCTCTCTCTCTCTCTCTCTCTCTATCTATCTATCTATCTATCTATCTATCTATCTATCTATCTATCTATCTATCTATCTATCTATCTATCTATCTATCTATCTATCTATCATCTATCTATCTATCTATCTATCTATCTATCTATCTATCTATCTATCTATCTATCTATCTATCTATCTATCTATCTATCTCTCTATCTCTCTCTCTCTCTCTCTCTCTCTCTCTCTCTCTCTAATCTATCTATCTATCTATCTATCTATCTATCTATCTATCTATCTATCTATCTATCTATCTATCTATCTATCTATCTATCTATCTATCTATCTATCTATCTATCTATCTATCTATCTATCTATCTATCTATCTATCTATCTCTCTCTCTCTCTCTCTCTCTCTCTATCTATCTATCTATCTATCTATCTATCTATCTATCTATCTATCTATCTATCTATCTATCTATCTATCTATCTATCTATCTATCTATCTATCTATCATCTATCTATCTATCTATCATCTATCTATCTATCTATCTATCTATCTATCTATCTATCTATCTATCTATCTATCTATCTATCTATCTATCTATCTATCTATCTATCTATCTATCTATCTATCTATCTATCATCTATCTATCTATCTATCTATCTATCTATCTATCTATCTATCTATCTATCTATCTATCATCTATCTATCTATCTATCTATCTATCTATCTATCTATCTATCTATCTATCTATCTATCTATCTATCTATCTATCTATCTATCTATCTATCTATCTATCTATCTATCTATCTATCTATCATCTATCTCTCTCTCTCTCTCTCTCTCTCTCTCTCTCTCTCTCTCTCTCTCTCTATCATCTATCTATCTATCTATCTATCTATCTATCTATCTATCTATCTATCTATCTATCTATCTATCTATCTATCTATCTATCTATCTATCTATCTATCTATCTATCTATCTATCATCTATCTCTCTCTCTCTCTCTCTATCATCTATCTATCTATCTATCTATCTATCTATCTATCTATCTATCTATCTATCTATCTATCTATCTATCTATCTATCTATCTATCTATCTATCTATCTATCTATCTATCTATCTATCTATCTATCTATCTATC